ATATATATATATATATATATATATATATATATATATATAATAATAATAATAATAATAATAATAATAATAATAATAATAATAATAAATCACAAATAACGAATCTATTAATCTGTAAATCACCATCCATAAATAAACTAAAAGCCGAGGAAAAAAGAAGAAGAGAAGATAGGGCTCACAAGTCACATGCACAGCAGCACTCAGTCAGACGCATGGTGGCGGAGACTCGGACGAGGGAGAGCACGGGATTGAAGGTGGGCTCACGGCTAGGGGCAGATTGAAAGGTTGATAGCCGATTGAAGTTGGTAATTTGGTAGAGAATGACGCGAAGGGCGGCCTTGTTTCATAAAACTAAAAAGAATTGGGAATTTGGGACTAAAGGAAAGGGTAAGGGAAAGAAAAGCGGGAAAAAAGGGGGAGGGGCGATGCATATACGGCGTGCATTTTCATGCTGTAGTAAGTGAAGTAATTTTACGAAATTTACGACGTGTGGATGCACGACATAATAGGTCGACGTATATACGGCGTGCATATGCACGCCGTAATAAGTCCGTCTTTTTACACAAACACAGCGCGCTCTAAAACAACGCCGTAAATGTTCACATTTCGAATTCACGGTTTTTACGGCATACATATAGCGCATGCCGTAGATAGTCGTCTTTAACGGCATGCCATAAATGCACGCCGTAAATTCATGCTGTAAAAGCCCACTTTTGTTGATGTGTCGTCTCCAATAAGAGGTATCCTCATCCAATCTCAAGGGTATGTATTCCTATTGCCCTAGGTAAAGTAAGTATAAATCTATTGGCATGCAAATGATCTGGAATTAAAGGAAATGAAACCACCACTGGAATAATCAGAATCTTATGCTTTGGTCTAAAGTAAAATGTCTATTTGAGAACCCTCATTGAACACCAACCTATATACAATGAAAGCATAGGGAAAAGTTAACTATAATTCTTCTTACGTGTAAGATGTATAACTATATGTGTTGCGTTAATCAAACCTAACTCAAGTCTACCATGGAAACCAAATTTATGAAAAATCTAACGTAGCTTTCTCATGGTTAGCTTGCGATGGAAATTCCTTACAAGTACATACTTGTAGAGATTAACCAATATAGCCGCATCCAAATCAATCAAATGAATGGTCGACTCACCCATGTGAGTAAATGGTTCCTTAGTAGCGAACCCAATAATAGAAGAATCAGCTAGTGCATTTAACACTACACCAAAAAAGGGCTATTGCAACGGTCAAAAAATGTTGCAAAAAGTCATTCGCAGCGTTTGAGTGTATGTTGCTGTTGAGGTAAGACTTTTTGCAACGTTTAAAAAACGTTGCAAAAGCCTAGTCTATTGCAACATTTAGCAAACGTTGCAAAAGCCTATCTATTGCAATGTTTGCTAAACGTTGCAATAAACTAGGCTTTTGCAACGTTTAAAAGATGTTGCAATATCTAGGCTTTTGCAACGTTTGCTAAATGTTGCAATAGACAGGCTATTGCAACGTTTGCTAAACGTTCTATTGCAACATTTTTTAAACGTTGCAATAGATAGATATTGCAACGTTGTTTAAACGTTGCAATAGACTATGTATTGCAACGTTTGTTAAACGTTGCAATAGATAGGTTATTGCAATGTTGGAAAGATGTTGCAATAGCCTGTCTATTGCAACGTTTAACAAATGTTGCAACAGCTAATTTAGATTTTTTTTTATTTATGCTTACACTACTAAAAATTCTGTTCTTTGATTAAATAAGTCATTCAAAACTAATAAGCATGTACCACCAAAATAATAAACTAACAAACACATTACTCGTTAAATTTGTAAAATATTCAACACATAATCTCTTTCAAAATAAAATTAAGAGTCTCCAGACATGTACTACTAAAATGTAATTAGAAAACTACAAAAATCGAAACTTAAACTTGAAATCGTCGCATGTTACTTGATCAATACCATTGCCACTAAGAGTCTAATACCTTAATCAAGAAGTCTAATACTACTCTTTGGCCAAGCAACAGTACTTCCCATGGCTTCACTAAGAGTGCGGAATTCATTTGTGGGTCTGTATAGGGTCAAATTACCCATATAGACTTACTCAACTCAGACTTTCCAACAGTCTCGACCAAGTGGCAAGTGATGCACCTTTGCACTTGGATCTGTTGTGGCAATCTTCCCTTATGCTACGACTTCTTCCTCCTCAAACATGTACCAATGCTACAGTTGACATCTTGCATTTGTCTTGGGGGTAGTACTTCCTTGGACACCACTTCCTTGGTGTGACTACAAATTCATAATAAACAGAAAGTAGTCTTTTTAAAATTAGAATGCTACAAACTGAATATATATTAAATAAACATTTAATAATATAGGACATGGAAACCTAAGTAAAAGCATTTGAATTCCTATCCTCCACATTCTGTATACTAATACAAAAATTACAAAAGTTATTATACATGTAATTGGCTATATAAAGCTATAAAATCATAAAATGTATAAAAAGTAACTACTTATAACCTGCTGAGAAAAACTTGATAAATGCTTCCATTTTTTCTTCTGATGCCCCCATTCTTTGTGCCTGAATCTATACTTAGCTTTCAAGTTCTCTACCTCTCCCACTACTTTGTATTTGTCCATCCACTTTTGATGGAACAACTCCAAATCCGAGTCCCCTAACTCTCCCATGACGTTCGAGACCTAAAACTCGAGCTATAGCATCATCACGGATGGAATCTTCGGCAGGCGTATCAGAAATTGATGTGGCACAATCTTCAATCTTTTTTTGCACTTATGGAACTCAAGTCAAATACTAGCAAGTGATACAACTAATAAATCAAATTATGCTTAATTGAACATTGGTATAATACACATACAATGTTTCGGCAACTGCTTCATTAATTGGTTTTCTATCTTTTCTGAGATGTCCATATTTCCATACTTCTGTTCTTCACCCTTTTAAATGTGGATTCTTTTTCTTCTGTAGTACAAATGTAGTAATCAAATATATTGAAATTGGACAATTCAAGTAAAAAGACATGATATGTTCGTAAGAAGTACCATTTCATAAGCCACACGTGGATAACCCTTTCTACCCATAGTATGGAAAAGCTTCTGATTAGTTCGCATGTTGCTGAACCTGGAACTTTTCTCCTATTGAAAAAAGAACGAAGTATAAAACAACAATAATTAAAATAAGGGTTAAGCTTTACATGCAAATATACTTACATGAAAATCTGCAGAACGAGTATCCTCAACAAATTTAACCCAGACTTCTTCAGAGTTGACATTCTTTGTTCTAAGAAGGGTAATAGTGCGTGCTCTATTCACAGATGATTCAACTTGAGTTCTAATTTGTTTTCTCAATCTTGATTTGAATGTCCTCCAGTACTTTCCCATACATTGAAATGTCATTCTTTGATGACAATCACTGACATTGAACCTTTACTGTATTTATGCACAAGCATGAATTTAAGACTTTAGAAAATGGTATCATTAAGAAAGAAATAAATACAACGTAATAATCTCAAAAGGTAGTTACGAAATGTTACTTGTATGAAAGTCCAGAGCTCCATTTTAGTCTCTTCATTCACTGAAGTCCAATCTTTAATTACAACAGGCACATGTTCTCGTACCATGGCCCCAACTACACTAGAATTTTTTTTCGATTTCTGCGCAACAACTTGGCCATATTCATTGAATTCTAGATTTATCTTTTGATAATTATGTTCAGGAATCATCTTCACTTGTGTTGGACTTCTTTTCTTTTTCGGAGCATTTACAGTTGTTGGCAACGTGGTTTGCTCATCATTAGTTGGACTAGTTATAGTATTGTCTTGTTCATTGGAATTGTTTAGTCTCTTACTTGTCTCTCAAATTGCATTAGCAATTGAAGCTCTTCTTCTTTTAAAACTCTTCGAAGTTTGTTTAGTTGGCTTTGAGAATACAACATGAAAACATAAGTTAAACGCAATTATTTTCAAAACTTAGCATATATCTTATGTATTAGAAGAAAACACAATTACCCGAGTCTTGTCCATCGTACAAAATGTATTTCGGATTGAAAAGATTCTCTAGATCTAGAATAAAAACCTACAACATCAAAACAAATAGATGTTATTCAACATTTCATCGCAATATGAATGGATAGATAAATCACATGTCAAAATATTCTAGAAAAATTGATCATTATGTAAAAAGTATGTTGTCTACAAAAAAGGGAGTTACCAAACTACTTTATGTATCACATAGTACGCCTTCAACATCTATCCTTGCATAATTGTCATCTTCATCATGGTTTTCTGTAATTGGCTGTGATATATCTAGTGGAATAGTTACCTCATAATTAGTATCTTCTTCCAAATGTGATGCATCAAAGTCTTTTTGTGGCGCTTGCAAAGCCACATACCAACTAGATGTTTCATTTTCCTTGGAATAAAATACTTGTTTCGCCTATGTTGCCAAAATGAACAGATCATTTTCAAATTGTCTGTGTTCTTCGTTAAGATTAACCAAAGTGAATCCATCTTCCTTTTTTATTACGTTCACGATATTTACCGAATCGCACTTAAATATTAGAACATGAGACGTATTATAGTCAAGTACTATAACGTCATGCAAAACTCCATAATAAAGAACTTGCCCAACTATTTGTGCATTATCTTTTGCACTAGATCTACATATGGTCGTTGCTTCAACTAAAACGCCACTATTTTGACAAGATTTTTCTGCATCTTTAGTGCGAAATCGAAGACCATTTATGACAAAACTAGAATATGACATGGATTGATATCTAGGACCACGTGCAAGCCACTTCAAATTGTTCAAAACTTTGTTCGTCAATAGCTGAATTTGAATATGTTATTATGTTAAAAATGTTAGAAATAAAAGAA